TAATCACCTCTAGTCCGGGGTATGAAGGATGGTGCCCCCGACCTCAGATCCTCCCTCAGTTCTCCCCTCTGGCTCAGAACTGGAATCAGGACCTCCAACCCCCTTCAAGTGCCCACAGTCAGCAGTGCTCTGGCCCCACTGCTTCTGCACTCACCTGTGCTGCTTCCTTCTCACTTATGCTGCATCTCCACAGCACAGCTGGCTCCGGCTTTCCTTGTCAGCAGAAATTCCCTTGATCTTCCCTGGCTCAGACACCCAACACCCCTTACCGCCCCCATGGCAGAGGTCCTGCATCTGGAGCCGAGGCAGCCTTCCAAACCAGCTAACCCCAGGGCTACCTGCTTGTTATTTAACAGGACCTAGGACCTAGCCTGGAGGTGTTTACTCTTCACAGAGACCAAATCTCATTTTGGGACTTTTCTTCAAATCTTCTTCAATGGTCCCAGGAGGATCCTTGTCTATACCTACTCTTATTTATTTTTATTATTCAATATTTGCCCTGAGGCGCTATTTCATCTCTTTTTATGGAGGAAAATCTTGAGAGCTTGGAATTTTCTGACCTATTCCACCACCTTCCCAGAATCCTCAGCAACTGTTCAAATAAGGAGGGTAATGAGTGGGCATCAGTTACACAAGTATAACCCCAGTCCAATAATCAATGAGAGTTGCCAGGGAGATTAAGGGTGTCAGAAGTACCTAAGTCAATAGACTTTTATCCAAAGTCACAGAAGTGGAGAGGCTGGAACTCAGAGTTGAGAACTCTGGGAAAAAGGAAAAGCCATAGACAATAATAATCCATCTTGGCAAGTCACGCACAAGTGTAGAACAGGCTTGGACACACCCTGGCAACAGACACCCTTCCCAACCCATTCAGAACTTGTACAGTGAGACCTTTTCAGATCATAGTTATAGATGATGGCAATTAAAATCTGTAGCTCTACAACAATCCATTATGAACTGGTATGTATCATACACACCATCACTGACACCTTCATTTTCCCCTCCTCTGCCCCTGGCAGGTGACTGGCCATCTGTTAACTATCCAAATCATCCATAAAGAATTGCTAAGAGGGGCAGCTAGGTGGTGCGGTGGATAGAGCACTGGCCCTGAAGTCAGGAGGACCTGGGTTCAAATTTGACCTTGGATACATAACACTCTCTAGCTGTGTGACCCTAGGCAAGGCATTCAACCCCAATTGCCTCACCAAAAAAGAAGAAGAAGAAGAAGAAGAAGAAGAAGAAGAAGAAGAAGAAGAAGAAGAAGAAGAAGAAGAAGAAGAAGAAGAAGAAGAGTTAAGAGAGAGAAGGTTATTCTGTCTCTTCTGGGCTACCAGCCAAAAGTGGCTGGTACTCAGACTTTTTTTTTTACCTTGCCTATAACCCTTTCATTTATTTTAAAAAATATTTAACTTTAATCTTTTCCAATTAACAAGCATTTATTTTCTCTCCCTCCATGGACCAAATGAAAATTAACAAAAACCAAACCCTTGTAACAAATATGCATAGTCAAGCTAATCAAATACCCTGAGTGGCCCTGCCCAAAAACATATGCCTCATTCTGTGTCTGGAGTCTGTCAGGAAGTGGGTAGCATCCTTCATAGTTGGTCATTGCATTGATCAGAGTTCTTAAGGCTTTCAAAATTGTTTGTCTTTACAATGCTGTTATTGTATAAATTGTCTTTCTAGTCTTGCACACTTCACTCTATATCAATTCACATTTCTTCCTAATTTTCTCTGAAATTGTCTCTTTTCTTATTGTATTTGGCATAAGAGTTCACAAACTATAATTTGTTCAATCATTCCTAATTGATAGGCACACACAACCCCTTATTTTCAACCCTTTCAATTCTGATGCTTTGCCAGTTATTTGATGTGCGTGTGTGTGTGTGTGTGTGTGTGTGTGTGTGTGTGTGTGTGTGTTTGGTTTTTGTTTTTAAGAAAAATTGGTGGCTACCAAAATCCTGACGACCACCAATTTTGGGACTTGTTCAAGAGTTCAAAGACTGAACATTCCAGCGGAAAAAAAAGAATTTCCTGATGAGGCATCCTTCTCAGAGAAAGTTCACATAGGTCCTAAGCAGTGTCCTATTTAACAAAGCCAATGAGCTTACTCACACAGTACTAGACCAATATGAAAGGGATTGGTTGTTCAGCAGCCCTTCCACCTTCCATGGGAATTCTTAATCTCAGGATCACTGTGAGTCTGGCAGGAATTCTATGGGAAAGAAGAAATCATGATTGGCCAACATGACAAAACAGGAAAATGATAAATGTTGGAGAGGATGTGGGAAAATTGGAACGCTAATACATTGTTGGTGGAGTTGTGAAATGATCCAACCATTTTGGAGAACAATTTGGAACTATGCCCAAAGGGCTACAAAAATGTGCATACCCTTTGATCCAGCAATAGCACTTCTAGGGCTGTATCCCAAAGAGATCAAACAAATGGGAAAAGGACCCACATGTACAAAAATATTCATAGCAGCTCTTTTTGTGGTGGCAAAGAATTGGAAACTGAGAGGATGCCCATCAATTGGGGAATGGCTGAGCAAGTTGTGGTATAGGAATGTAATGGAATACTATTGTGCTGTAAGAAATGATGAACAGGCTGACTTCAGAAAAACCTGGAGAGACCTATACGGTCTGATGCTGAGTGAAGTGAGCAGAACCAAGAGGACTTCGTACACAATAACAGCCACGTTATGCAATGACTAAGATTGTTAAACTGAACCTTTCTCAGCATTATGAGGATCTAAGACATTTCCAGAGGCCTCAGGATGGAAAATGCTGTCCACATCCAAAGAAAGAACTATGGAAGTCGAATTGCTATCACTTATTTTTACCTTCTGTTGAGTTTTGTTTCATCTTTCTGATGGTTCCTTGTATTGGTTTTAATTTTTACTTACAGCTTCAGTAATGTGAAAATACTTTTAATGGTTATGTAAATGTAAAGCCTATATCAGATTGTGTGCCACCTTGGGGAGGGTGGGGGGGAAGAAAAGGGAGAAAAATTTTCAACTCAAAAGCATATGGAAAAAATAAAAAAATTTAAATTAAAAAAAGAAAGAAAGAAAGAGGAAATCATGAGAATGTCAGTATTGCATGGATAGAAACCCAAATCCAGTTCCCTTCTGGAAGGAAGTGATGGATTACTTGAGTGTTTTGTGTTCCATATTTGCTTATGAGTTCCTGCCAGATTTTGTATCTTTTTCCTTTTCTAGAAATTTTTTTTAAACTCTCCTGATGCACACTTGATGGCTTCAAAGCTGGTGTGGGAGCTAGAAATCCACTTTTGGGGAAGTGGCAGTGAGCCAAAGACAGAAAAACTGATCCTCCTGGGGTCAGCCTCCAGGATTGGACCCAATTTGTGTGAGCCTGAAGTCATTAAAGGAAATTAAAGGGAGAGCATGGGACGTGGATTACATATGCCTAGAGACAATTAAATCTATGAAGAGTTGATGAGATCACCAAGGAAGGGACTGTAGAGAAAGAAGGCCCAGGACATGGTCTTGGAGAACAACCACACTTAGGAGGAAGAAAGAGGACGATTATCTAACAAAGCAGAAGAAATGATCAGAAAGATCAAAGAACAGAAAGAAGAAAAAGAATAAGGAGAGAGTGATGTCACAAAAGCAAAGAGAATATGGAGTTTCCAGAAAGGTTTGATCTAGGTGAGGGGTTCTTAACTTGGAGAAATCTATGCATGAACCACCTGAAGGGTATTTGGACCCCAAGTTAAGCCTTTGGGATTTTCAATAATTTTGACAACCAAGTTTCATTATAATCGACTTTCTTTGTAATTATACGTATTTTGCTGTACTTTCTTCCTCCTAAATGTGGCTGTTCTCCAAGTACTCAAGCAATTAATTAGTGCTTATCCTCAGGTGTGATGGAGACCTGACTTGGAAGAGTCAATTGTTAAATTTTCTTTGCAAGAATTTACACCTCAGAAATCAGCAAGCTATAAATTAGGCCTTCATTTATTGCTTGGGGTGGGGGTAGGAGGGAAAAATCAGAGACGACTTTGTAAAGGAGAGAGTACTTCAGCTGAGCCTTAAAGGAAAATGTCCGACACCTAGCAATTAGTGCTTTTTCTTGGGGTGTGCTGAAGACTGAAGTCTTGCTATAGCTAATTGCTAAATTTTCATTGTGAGAATTTTACACTAAAGCTACACTTTAACATTTGATTTGTGGTTTTGCTGATTAGCAAGACTCTAGATTTAAGAAACTGATGGATTCACGAGAAAGTAATGGAGAAAATGTTAATAATGCAGATTAAATTTAAAAATGTGTCCAGCATACAACCCCTCTTCCCAAGTCCGGTCAACTGCTAAATATTACCAGCACTTTTACCCTGTCTCTCTCTCCTCCGATTTTGCATTTACTTTTGTGCTCTATCTTCCTATAGAACACCAGCTGCTTAAGGGCTGGGATTATTTCCTTTCCCTCTTACGATCCCTGGTGCCTAGTCTGGAGCCTTGCACACAGCAGGAGCATAATAAATATTCGCTGAACTGCTGACTGCTGACGACTTTCCTCCTGGTCTCGTTTCTTTCAGTTCAAACTCATCTCAAAGGTCAGGCAGGCCAAGGATTCTTTTTTTAAAAAAATTGTATTTTATTTATCTTAATGTTAATTTTTAAAAATTTTGAGTTTCAAATTCTCTCCCTCTTTCCAGCCCCTTCCCCACCCAGGCAAGAAATGTGATATCAATTACACATGTGAAATCATGCAAAACATATTTCCATATTCAGTTTAACGCTTTTTGTAATTCATTTCCCTCCTCTGTGAAATAACGGGGCGGGACTGCGTGATCTCCAACTCTTTCCATCTCTAACGAGTCTCTCTAGCTCTCCATGGATGATAGAGAAGGGGACATCTCCTTCTCCCTTCTAGCGCGTCTGAGCACAAGCTGAGCGCTCTAGTTTACAGAGCCAGGAACTACAAGTCCCAGCGGGCCCCGCGAAAGACCCTTTCCCATCGCGCCCTGGGCGCGCCTGCGTAGTGACGCAGACTCAGAATTCCCATTTCCCGCCAAACTGTGAGGCTGGGGTTTTTCTTCCCTCCAGTGGTGCTGTCAGGCAAAGCCCCCGAGGCTCATGGAGGCATTTGACCCCAACGAGCTCCCCGAGCTGCTCAAGCTTTACTACCGGAGGCTCTTCCCCTTCTCCCAGTACTATCGCTGGCTCAATTATGGCGGAGGTGACCGGGGAATGGGCTCCTGGGGAGGGGGGAGTAGCTGCCGAGGGGTGGGTGGGGGGAGCCCGGGATTGGGGTGCAGCCATCTCCAGTTATGGAGAGTGACCCAGTCACCCCACTTCTGGGCCCTGGCCTCCTTGACCCTGGCACATAGGAAGCGCTGTATAAATGTTAGCTATCATCATCATCATTATTGTTATTGTGGAAGCGCTACATAAATAGCTATCATTATTATTGTTGAAGCACCGTATAAAAGTTAGCTATCTTCCTTATTGCTATTATTGTTGAAACGCTATGTAAATGTTAACCATCATCATCGTTGTTGTTGTTGAAGGGCCACATAAATATTAACTATCGTTATTGTTGAAGGGCTATGTGTTAGCCATCATTATCGTTATTGTTATTGGCGAAGCTCTATGTAGAATAGCTATGGTTGTTGAAGTGCTCTGTAGAAGGTAGCTATCTTCATTATTGTTATTGTTGAAACTACGTGAATGTTAGCCATCGTCATCATTACTGTTGAAGCACCATATAAATGTTAGTTATTATCGTGATTGTTGTTGAAGCACTCTATAAATGTTGGCTGTCATCATCATTATTGTTATTAACAGTGAGGTTACGTGGCTTGCCTAGAGTCACACAGATGAGAAGATTGTTTTAGGCAAGACAAGAAGCCGAACATTCTTGACTCTGGGGCCTGGCTGTGCTCACTTTTCAGTGCTGCCTCTCACCCCTTCCACGTTGCAGTTACTTAATGAGTTCTGTTGGATTGGATTAGAGTAGCCTTGTTCTGCTTGCTGCCAGAGTACCAAACCAGGAGCAACAGGTAAAAGTTGAAGAGGGAGATTAAGCCTGGAATGAAAAGAAAGTACTTCCTATTAGATCTTTCCAAAAGTAATAGCCTGCTTTTAGGAAGTGAGTCCCTCCTCTCTTATGGTCCTTAAGCAAAAGCTGGATGAGTACTTGATTTGTGTTGTAGACTGGGTTCTTGTTTTAGTTCTGCGTCAGACTAGATGCCCTCTGAGGTCCCATCTACCTCTGAGATTTTGTGAATTCCACCCCCTGTCCCCTGAGGCATCTATTGAGTATTACTGCTCAGAGTTGGGGGAAAAGGGAGGTGTTATTCAGTTTCAGCATTGAAGTCCTGGGGATCTGGAAACCAGGAGACATGGGTTCTAATCCACCTTCTGCTAACTCACTGAGAAAATGAGAGGATTGGCATGGAATTTTGATCCCTTGATCTGTGGAGAGAAATTCTCCAGGATCATAGCTTCATAGATCTAGAAGGGAAAAGGACCTTCACAATCATCTAATTCAACCCTCTCATTTTACAGATGAGAAAACTGAGGCCCAGAGAGATTTAGTGACTTTCCCAAAGTCACATGAGTGACCAGGTGAGCCAGGATTTGATCCCAAGGCTCCACATTCAAGGTTCTTTCCACTATACCAGGAACAGGACTTAACATCTTCCTGTATCTAATACAACCTATGAAACTTAAATATTAATCCTGAGAAAGCCCCATTGAGGAACTGAGAAGATAAATCTTTTTTTCTTCATTTTTTACATCAACCAAAACATTCAAATAAATAATGAGAATGATCTTACATAAGCCATTGTTTATGTAATATATGTAATCCGAATTGTTTGCAAAGTTAGGCATGTTAATTTTAGCAAATTTGTTTCCTAATAATCTTCTTTCCCATGTGTATTTTTTCAGGTTTTGCTCTTATCATTTTTAAGCGTTAGTGGGTGTGTTTATTGTTGTCTTTTCATTTTCTGAAAAGAGAATTATTCAGATATTCCCTCATCTGTATGTTCTAGTTCAGTGTTCTCCAAATTTGTTAAAATCATGCACCCTGTGCAGTAAAAAATTTTTGAGGACCAGCTCCCCAACATAGGGATAGGAATAGGTACTAGGTCTGTGCTTTCATTGTTGTAGTGAACTCCCCTCCCTCTACAGATGCAGGGTTTACAGTCAGTCTGAGAGAGTTGCCTGGAGAACAGAGAGGTTAAGTTGCCCGGTGTCAGAGGTGGCAAATATGCATAAGAGGTGAAATCTCCCCTCTCCCCACATATGTATATTTAATTATTTGTAAATTATATAACTGTAGTATTTAATTAAAGGATGAGATCAAGATAAAATAAACAATATTTCAAATAATTTTAATTTTATTAACAGTTCATAAAATATTTTTGCTGTCATAAAAGCATTTTCAGTCAGAGCAGGGAGATTGAATATGCTTTGTTATTTTTAAAAATTTTGATTTAATACTTTCTGATGATGCAATATTACTGAAAGTTAAAGAACACATGAGGGTGCCATCCTCCAACCATTCTGCATCTTGGAATTCCCACTCTTCCTTGTATATTGTAATCACATGACTATCTGGCATAGATCAAGTAAAAGCATTCATGTCAATCCATATATTACATATTAGTTAAGCTTGATTTCTGCCTTTTATGTACTTAAAATATACTTTATTAGCATTAATAATTTGTTTTTCCCAAATGCACATAAGCATCAATTATGTCTTGTTCTTGTCACATCCTGATAATCAGCACTTGGTTTTCTGTAAACAAACCCTGGGACTAGGTAGAACCTGTATCTTACAATTGGCGAGTGGGGAGCACTTGGTGTGTAGCACTGCATTCTGCCTGCTTAAGGAAGTAATGTCATTAGAAATCTAGACTAAAACTAATGACTGATTGAACAAGTCTCTTTAACTTACTGTGTCCATGTCTAAAACACAGAGGTAGGCATACTGACGTAACCATGCTGGAATACTTATTTGAGGTCTCCTTATAAGTGTCTCTTCCTGGAGTTTTGCCTTGTTTTAAGTTCTCTTACCTCTTCTCTTCCCCTTCTCCCCATAAGTAACAAGGAAACTGCAATTCTATGTACATGTGAATTTTTTTTTCATTTTTGTTTCTACAGCACCTAGCATAATGCTTTGCACATTTAACTGATACTTGTTGAATGAAATTGAATAGTAAGCCCTCAATATTTATCGACTGATTAATGTCTTGTCTACTTTGAGCTGAAAGATGAAAAGAACTAAATAAATTTAAAGTGAAATTTGTATTTTGCAGTGGTAAAGAATTATTTTCAGCACAGGGAGTTTTCGTTCACACTGAAAGATGATATATACATTCGCTACCAGTCTTTCAACAACCAAAGTGAGATGGAAAAGGAGATTCAGAAATTGAATCCACACAAAATTGATATTGGAGCAGTGTATTCCCACAGAGTAAGTGTCCGCACATTTTTACTAAGTATGTATTGGGCCCCCAGCCTTGTCGAGGTAAACATTTTGGATATATTCACGATGTTGCTAAAGGGGCACAACAACCACAGCCAGTTTTACAAGTTCATTAGACTGGAATGGAGTGAGAAGGGAGTGACATGGTCAGGCCTAAGTTTTAGGGTAGCTGTGGGGAGGATGAATTGCATTATGGAGGGACCTGAAGTAGAGGTGCATTTGGGATACTATTTCACCAGTCAAGGAAAGAAGTGATAAGGGCCTAAACTAGGCTTTGTGAGTAGAGAAAGGGACAGGTGCCAGAGGTGTTGTGGAGAGCTTGGAGAGGTCAGGAGAGGTTTGCTTGGCTTGGGGATAAGCCCTTGTGATTGGTGGGTGGGATGTGACAAAGCCCACCTCCCTTAGGTCGTTCTGCATCCCCAGAGTACTCCCATCTCTACTTTGGAGAAGACTCACTGCCCTGAACTGCTGACTTCTTAGGAATTGAAAGTTGAATTGGTCAAATTGACATGAGTTGCTGTTGTTAAGTCGCTTAGTCTGTCCTATTCTTTATAACCTTTAATAAAGTTGACTAGAAGGTTGGTTTTCAAAGACCATAGGATTTGAGGGGATAATAAAAGGAACTCTATTTTCCTCAGAATAAATCTGAATTGGTAAAAAAAAAAACCCTTAAATTTTAAAATATCTTTAACAAAATGCCGTTTGATAACTTGTATGTACAGTAATCAAATAGGCTTAACTCAAGTGCCCTCTCCTATGCAGATCCCTCCCTGGTCCCCTAGTCATCAAAAAAGTAGGTTTTCTCTGCTTTTGAATAGATTTTTAGTGTTTTACATCTCTATTGCACTTACATTGCTCAATAAACATTTATTAAGAGCCTACTATGTGTAAGGCACTGTGCTAGGGGTGTGCAAGATACAAAAACAAAACCATCTTTACACTCAGGAAGCTTACATTCTCCTGAGAAAATAAAAAATATACACAAGAGAGCAAATACAAAGTAATTTCATGCGGGAGACATTGCTAATAATTGAGAATCAAGAAATGCCTTAAGTAGGAGGTGACGCCTCAGCTATACTTTGGAAGATTCTTTTTTTTCTCCCAATTTTATTAATTTATTGATTTATCAACAATCACTTCCATATGGTTTTGAGTTGAAAATTTTTCTCCCCCCTTCCTCCCGCCCCCACCCTCCCCAGGACTGCGCACAAACTGATATAGGTTTTACATTTACATTCCTATTAAACATATTTTCACATTAGTGAAATTGTAAGTAAAAATTAAAACCAATAAGAGGAACCATCAGAAAGGAAACAAAACTCAACAGAAGGTAAAAATAAGTGATAGCAATTTGACTTCCATAGTTCTTTCTTTGGATGTGGACAGCATTTTCCATCCCGAGGCCTCTGCAGATGTCTTAGATCCTCATAATGCTGAGAAAGGTTCAGTTCAACAATCTTAGTCATCGCATAATGTGGCTGTTATTGTGTACAAAGTCCTCTTGGTTCTGCTCACTTCACTCAGCATCAGACCGTATAGGTCTCTCCAGGTTTTTCTGAAGTCAGCCTGTTCATCATTTCTTATAGCACAGTAGTATTCCAGTACATTCATATACCACAACTTGCTCAGCCATTCCTCAGTTGATGGGCATCCTCTCAATTCTGGAAGATTCTTTAAGGGGGGGAGAGGATTTGGCATTCCAGACATTGGGAGCTACTTGTTCAAGGGCATGGAGGCCAGAGACAGAATATGTGTAGGGAACAGCTAGCATTATAGTTTGACTGGAAAAGAGATTGGGTGAAGGAGACTGATATAAAATAAAACTAGAAAAATAAGCAGGAACCAGATTGTGGAGAATGTTAAGTGACAGGCTGAGACATTTGCATTTTATTCTCAGGAGAAAAATATTTTAAAGATATTTGCTATCTCTGTTTTAAGAATATCTTTTGCAGTTGGGTAGAGGATGGTTTGATGAGGGGGAGAGATTGGAAGCGGGTGAGACCAATTAAGAAGCTATTGCAATAATCTAGGCCATTGGACTCCAATGTAGAGGCTTCCCAATGACTCCAAGAGAACCTTGACTTAATGCCAAGGAATGTGTGACCAACTAATCCGAGAGTGGAAAGATAAGTCACCTGCCATGCTCTTCCCACTTTCCTCCCCACCCCCACCCCCCTTAGCCAAATGAGGACTTGTCTGCAATACAGCCACACCCTACATACACATGACCTCTCCCTTCTCCCTCCATACCTTACAACATTCTCACTCTGCCTTCTTCCTCCATTGACCTCCGATGCCGCTGCTCTAGCCATGGGCCCCTCAAGATTATAACCTAAGTTACTCAGGTACCCTTAGCTGCTAAGCAGGCAAAATTACCGCTTTTGGTGTCCCTACCTCCTAATCTCTCTCCCTCTCCCACTCCCCCATCCCCATCACCCCCATCACCTTGTGGCTACCGCCATAGAACACAACTGCAGCCCTCAGGTTACTGCAGCTTGCAATACACCAAAGGATTTGGGGCAGCCCTTAAACAATGTAGAGGAAAACATCCTTTGTACGTACAGGAAATCCTTAGGCCAGCCTACAGGCCTGCCCTAGGGTATACATGCTCTAAACTCCAAAGCAGTGACTAGTTAGTCTAGTTAGTAGGGACTACTACCTTCCCCTCTACACACACACACACACACACACACACACACACACACACACGCCTAATTTTTTGGAAAGAAAGAGTAAATAGCACAAAATAAACAGGTATTTTTTTTCCCCCAAAACCCTTCCCTTTTTCTGTCGAGGGCACCACTATTCTTCCAATCTCCCTGCCTCTCAGCTTCATTATCCTTGACTTCTCACTCAATTGAAACTATTCTCTTCAAAGTTACCAGTTATCTCTTAATTGCCAAATCTGGTAGCTTTTTCTCTATCCTCATCTTTCTTGACCTCTCTGCAACATTTGACATTTTTGGATATCCTCTCTTCCTGGATACCTAATCTCTCCTCTCTGTGTTGTCCTGACCCTGCTTTCTCTTGACTCAACTACCTTTTTGACTACTCTTCAATCTCCCTTGGTGGATTTTCATTCATCTCTTGTCTTCTAACTGGATATTCTCCAAGGTTCTCTGTATTAGGCACTCTTTTCTCTCCATACATTCTCTCACTTAGTGATTTCATTAGCACCCAAGGGTTCAATTATCTCCATGGTGATGGCTCCCAGCTCTGTATACCCAGCCCTAACCTCCTCTCCACTTAAGTCCAGCATCACCAGTGACCTCTTGAACATTTCAAATAGATGTTCCATAGGCATCTCAAAATCAGTATGTCCAAAATGGCACTTATTACCTTTCTCCCAAAACCCTCCTCTCATCCAAACTCCTCTATTTCTATTGAGAGTACCAGCATCCTGCCCATCACCCACGTTTGAAACCTTGCCGTCTCTCTTTCCTTCACTCCATATATCACTCACTTGTCAAATATTATGTTTCTACCTCTACAGCATCTCTCACATCTGTCCCCTCTTTCTACTGACATAGCCACTATTCCAGGTCAGACCCTCATTATCTTTCCCTTGGATGATTGAAACAGCTAGGTCAAGAAGAAGGAAGACAGAGAAAGGGACATTGAATTTAGCAGTTAAGGGGCAACACTAGAAAGTGTCATCCAACCTGCAGGTGGAGTTGAAAGTCCATTTTTAAGAGATTGAGAAGTGAGAACTGAAAGGTAGCATGGTGGGGTAGACAGAGCACTAGATTTTAAGTCAGACGACCTGTATTCAAATCCTGGCTACTAAATTTCCTAGCATTGTGACCACAGGGATCTAGGACTTGTGAGCTAAAAAAGGACTTTAGAGATTAAAAGATTTAACACCCTCATTTTACAGAGAGGGAAGCTGATGTAGAGGATTTAAATGACTTGCCTGAGGTCATGTTGGTAGTAAGTACAGTAGTCAGAATCAGAACCATATTGTCTCATTTTCTCATTAATTAGCTTCAGTTTTCTCATTAGTAAAATGTAAATTTTGATACTTGAACTATCTGCTTCACAGGATTGTTGTTAGGAATGTACTTGTAATCCTTAAAGAGTTATATAAATGTTAAGTTATTGTCATTATTATCTCATAGTTATATAGGTGTCATATACAAGCTAGTAGGTTATAAGTTCTGTGAGGGCAGGGGCTATGTCTATTAAGCTTTGCATCTCCCAGTACTTAGCAGAGTACTCTAACAGAGTGGGCATTTAATAAGTGTTTTATTTGGGGGGGGGAGGTGTCTTGTTTTTGGTTTTGGTTTTTTTTTTTAGTTTTCAACATTCACTTTTATAAGATTTTGAATTCTAAATTTTCCCCCCTCCCCAAGACAGCATGTAATCTGATGTAGGCTATACATGTATGATCACATATTTTCACATTAGTCATGTTGTAAAAGAAGAATTAGAACAAAAGGGGAAAACCATGAGAAAGGAAAAACAGAAAAAGAGAAAATGGTATGCTTTTATCTGCATTCAGACTCCATAGTTTTTCCTCTGGATGTGGATAGCATTTTCCATCATGAGTCTTTTGGAGTTGTCTTAGATCATTGTGTTGCTCAGAAGAGCTAAATCTAACAAAGTTGGTTATCGTACAATGTTGCTGTTACTGTGTATACAGTGTTCACCTGGTCCTGCTCCCTTCACTCAGATTCAGTTCATCCAGGTCTTTCCAAGTTTTGCTGAAATCTGCCTGCTCACCATTTCTTGTGGAACAATAGTATTCCATTATATTCGTATACTACAACTTGTTCAGCCATTCCCCAATTGATGGGCATCCCCTCACTTTCCAATTCTTTGCCACCACAAAAAACATAAATATTTTTGTACTTATGGGTCCTTTTCCTTTTTTTTTATGATCTCTTTGGGATACAGACCTAGTAGTAGTATTGCTGGATCAAAGGGTATGCAGTTTTATAGCACTTTGGGCAAAGTTCCAGATTGTTCTCCAGAATGGTTGGATCCATTCACAACTCCACCAACAATGCATTAGTTCTCCAATTTTCCCACATCTTCTCCAACATTTATCATTTTCCTCAAACCCTGTTTTTAATAGATCGTAGAAAAGTAGACAAGGCCAACTTTCACTAAATTATCACAAACTCCTAATTTGTAAGATCCAAATTAATGCAATTTCACTGATTTAACCTGAATATTTGTGGCTTCTTCATTTTGGCCAGGCCACTCTTCTATATCTGGTAGTTAGTAGTAGAACAAGTGACAATGCTCGCTTGAAATTAATAGGATATTTTTTTCTTGTCCACAGCCCATTCAGCATAATACAGTGAAGCTAGGAGCTTTTCAAGCTCAGGAAAAAGAACTGGTGTTTGACATTGACATGACAGACTATGATGATGTGAGGAGATGCTGTAGGTAAGGACATAAACACCTCAGAGCTGGATGGAGGGGTTCCGTTTGCAGTCAGTCACTAATGGTCACTCTGCTTCAGCTCTGCAGATATATGTTCTAAATGCTGGACCCTTATGACAATGGCCATCCACATCATAGACAGAGCTCTAAAAGGTAAAGTGTCTTAGCTGGTTTCTGAATTCTAGACACCGTATTTTAGGACAGATGCAGTAAGCTGTCGCACATAGAGAGAAGGGCAACCAGAACAGTGAGAGGACTCAAAAGTGTCATGTGAGGAATGACTAGAGGAAGTAAAGATGCTTAGCCTGAGGCTGTTTTCAAATATAGGAAGAATGATTAGATTTATTCAGCATAGCTCCAGAAAATATAACTGCTGGGTTCCATTGGGTGGAAGGTTCTGGAACTATATTTCACTTCATTACAGAAGAGAAAACTTCTTTAGATTAATAGTTTTCTTCTGAGCATATTAGTTTATACTACTGTGTTGTTATTCAGTCATTTCAGTCGTGTCAATTTTTCATGACTCCATTGGGAATTTTCCTGGCAGAGATACTGGAGTGGTTTGCCATTTCCTTCTCCAGCTCATTTTACAGATGAGGAAACTGAGGCAAACAGGGTTAAGTGACTTTTGAACTCAGGAAGATAAGTCTTTCTGACTCCAGGCTCAGTGTTCTATCCACTTTGCCACCTAGCTGTCCTTATACTACCATAGCATCTTTTTTTATTAGTTCTCAAGATATGCAAATGTATTATTATCCTTAAACATGTAATAGAAAAATGGAGTGTTACGGTAATTGCCATTTGCAAACATTGTACAGACCAGTGCTTTTCTTTTTAAGAAGGTATGTGTAGATTATTAGGAGAGGAAAAAACACCCAATTTTTCTCCCCACAGAGGACTTTGGATTTAAACATCGCCTCTGGGTATATTCTGGAAGGAGAGGTGTTCATTGCTGGGTCTGTGATGAAACAGTCAGAAAATTGTCCTCAGCAGTACGCTCTGGGATAGTAGAATATCTAAGTCTTGTAAAGGTATGGTACTCTTAACTGCAATTGAAATTTACTTGTATGCCAAACATTGTTAACCCTGGAATATGTAGGAGTACAGAAAATAAAAGCTTGCTACTATGTTTATTATGATAAGTACATCCTTTAGAGTATCCCATTCTAGAGTAACTTTAATCATAATAGCTGATTTTATTTGAAAGCTCTTAAGGGACAATTTGATATTTCAAACTTACATTTAAGCTTTTACCGTTATAGTAAAAATGGAAGTTAATTTGTTTTTCCTATTCATTTGTGTCAAGTGAAATTACCAGATAAAACTGCAGGTGTTGGGACAGCATATTAAATAGCTTCCAAGCATCCAATTTTAAAGAAAGAATATAATCAACATTTTGTGTATTGTTATAACCTTATGGTTACAGATAACAATAGTAATAATAATAGAACATCTTGAATAATTTTTTAAATTTGCTTGTACTATTTAATACACAAACAGTTCTTTTTATTATTTTTCAGGGCGGAGAAGAGATGAGAAAGAAGGTTCATCTCAGTACAAAGGTTCATCCTTTCATCAGGTCTGTTAAAAAAAGACACTGTGTAATTCAAGATTTTCTTCATGTTCTCTGAGACCGTACTTCATAGAAACATACTTCATATGTGCTATTTTTTATTTTTATTCTGCCAGTTTCTACTTTTGCCTTTTAAAATGCTATTAGGTGATTAAAGCAGATTGCTTAAAATTAAAGCTATGAATTATGTTCTCTATTCTGCTACTGCTGATTAGGTTGCTGTCCTATCTTAGGCTACTCCTGACACTACAGTGTTGTGGGCTTTAACACAGTTAATTAACATTTGCAAATCTAAACATCAATTCAATGAAAATTGAATAATAGATAAATTGAATAACTAATCCCAATAAATAATAGAATCCATATGTGTGTATGTATATTACTGATAAGGGATTTGTGGGTTTTGTTCCTACAGAAAATCAATAAACATAGTAGAAAAATATTTTGAAGAATATGCCCTGGTTGGTCAAGATATTTTTGAAAATAAAGAGACCTGGGATAAAATTTTAACTCTTGTCCCTGAATATATCCTTTCTAAAAAAATTATTAAACTAGGTGTCTTCATCTGTGATACTGTGAATAACTGTTTTCTGCCCTATTTTAGTCCTTTTTATGCTTCATGTTTATTAATGTATTTTTTTCCCTATGAATTTCTTTCCTTCATTTCCTAAGGAACTGTAAGAATAGTAACAAAAAATTGACATTCAGAAAATCCAGTCAACTTAAAAGTCAATATGCTATAGTATCACATTCTTTCTTTAGAAGTTACCACTCCCTCAAAATTTAGGGCTGTTTAGGAATATTGCTTCTTCTATGTAACTAAATGAAGTAAAAAAAAATGTAGATCCAGGGGAATTTATCCTAAGCTCTTTTTGCAGTTTGTCTAGGTATAAAAACTGATTGGGTTGTTGCTGTTTCATTAGGAATGCTTTCTAGCATGCCATCATTATGTTGGGGGGGGGCATTAATGGTTAAATAAATTTTTATATGTATATAATCTTTTAAAAATTGTAACTCTTAAAAAATTAGCATTTACCTCCTAAATATCTGCAAACTTTAAGCCCTCTAATGAGGATCCATTGTATAAATCCGCTTTGGAATTTACCTTATTTGTGCCATAAGTTAATGTTCCAGTTCCTTAACTGCCTGTCACCTATTCATGCTGAACTTCAGCAAGGATTCCAGAAGTGTCATAATTCAGTCCAGCGCTGGGAACATTTGAAGAGAACAGTGAGCACAAATCGGGTGTGTTTCACTAAAATACTTGGTTTTGGAAAGGGAAATCAATATAATTTATTGAGTACTCATTTTTTTTCTTAGTATGTTGAAAATGGCCGGTCATTTCTGCCGTGCAAAAACAAACAGAGGTGCAGCATGGCCTAGCTGGTCTCAATATGGAAGATCAGGTTTGAGTCCTCCTGTTGCCATACTGGCCCGTGATTTTGATACATGGCCTTAAGCTGACCTTATACGTGCCCTATGCAGTCTTTTAAGACTGGACGTTGTAGAACAGATATCTATCTTCATTGGTACAGAATTCTTCATCAGGAGTTTGCTATACCAGTGAAATCACAGAACCAGATAAAAAAAGAAAAAAATAATTTAAAAGACTCTCTGCTGTTTGTCACATTGGACTTCTGTCTGTTTTTAAAAGGCTGTCAAAAATGAGAAATTTGGACCCTGGGTAGAGTGGGAGATCATGCTACACTACTGTTTTCCTCGGCTGGATATCAACGTTAGCAAAGGGATCAATCATTTACTGAAGAGTCCATTCAGCGTTCATCCTAAAACAGGTAAAATTTAAATAAACACAAGTAGGAAATGAAAATTATATTGTGACATCTTATTTTAGCAAGAAGGTCTTATGAGTGGAGACAGAAAAGTTGAAGAGTTGGTATCTAGTCAGTAATCCATGAGGTAACTGAGTTAAAAATCTTTCTTTGAAATCAATTAAATAATAACAGATTTAAATTTTAAAAAACATTATGTACCCATAATGTGCCAGACACTATCCACTAAACAATTGCCACTATGTACTTTTTTTTTTTTTTTTGGTGAGTCAGTCAGGGTTAAGTGACTTGCCCAGGGTCACACAGCTACTAAGTGTCAAGTGTCTGAGGCCGGATTTGAACTCAGGTCCTCCTGACTCCCAGGCTGGAGCTCTATCTACTGTGCTACCTAGCTGACCCTCTGTGTACTTTTTAAATGGATCTATTATTCACAGTATTAATATCAGAATTCACAAATTGGAAGGAACCCTAGAGATCAAGTTATTTGTCCACTGTTATACTTCTAATTAGGGGCAGGGTTAGGATTCTTAATTAAAATAGATTAAATTAAATTAAAATAATTAAATTATTTTAAATAAATTAATTAATTAAAATAAAAGACATTTTTAGATTTTATTTTTTAGTTATTTTAATGAATCCAAAGTGTGAATTTGAAATGAAAATGAAAATTGCCATACTGGGGAATAGCCACAGCCCCCCCAGCACAATGCCCCGCCTTTGACAGAGATATGTTATAGTGGGATGTGGTTTTCCTCCTTAGAGTTGGTGCATTCTCAAAGTTTGTTTCCCTTGGAGTAACTCCTTAGGGCTCTGTTGTTCATGATTTTATCTAAACTTTTTGAGGCTATTTTCAGCCTATCCCATCTCTGGGTAGTAGATTCAAATAGTACTTCCTCTTTAGTTGTCTGAAATTTAACTTCAAACTTCAAAGTGATACCCTTTATTTTATTGTTCAGAGAGTTGTTGAACAAGCCAGTGCTCTCTCTGTACCGACTATGCATTATTTTATAAACTTTGTTGTATAACAACTCTAAACATTGCTCAAAATGCTTCTAGTTCTGCTTTCTCCCATTTTATTTTTAGTAGAGTATTATTGAATAATTTCTTGTAACAGGCAAATTTGAACGATTTGTCCGCTGTTAACTGCAAAGAGTTAAAGCTGTTTGTTTATTTTGGTTCTTGTAGGTCGTATTTCTGTTCCTATTAATTTGCAGAAAGTGGATCAATTTGACCCATTCATCGTTCCTACTATAAGGTGTGTTATATATCAGCGTCTGCCCTTTATTTAAATTTTCTTAGAAACCTCTGTTCTGAGTAGGCTTACTTGGATCTCTTCCTGTGTCTGTGGCTACTTAGGAGCAGCATGGTGTATAATATAGCTATTAATTAAGTAGTTATGTTATAATGACAACCTAGACCCAACTTTGAAGTTCTTTTATTTGTAGCCAGATCTGCCATGAATTAGATATGGTCTCCACTAATGAAGATGATGGGGACAAGGAAAATGAAGCTGAACCTGACACCAAGCGTCATACTAGAGGTAGGTCAGTAATATCTGGGTGCCTCCCTGTAACTCACCTTCCTCATAGTAGAGTCCTATATGTATAGACTCACCATAATCAGAATTCTTAATAACAATAATAATGGTATCATAGCATCAACAAGCATTTTTTAAGTGCCTGCTATATGCCATCCCCAGTGCTAGGCACTAGTACAAAGAAAGAATCAAGGAGATTTCATTGTAATACATCACCAATTAGTGTTATGGAAAAACAGTCACTTATCACACCTTGTCGATTCAACATCCTGGTCATCCACCAGCACTATTGAAGTAGCTTCCTAATAGGCCTCTCTACCTTTACATTCTCCCCTTTTCGATCTATCCTTGGTATTACTTTTAAAATAAATCTGTGTATTCAAAGATCTCTGATTATCTCACTCAGAAATCTTCAGTGGCCCCCTACTGCCTGTCAAATAACTTTGAACCTATTCTACATTACATTTAAGGCCTTCCACAATTTGGCACCAGCCTATATATCTGGGTTTATCTCATATTATTCCCTTCCATGTACTCCACACTGGGGCCTAATTGGACAATTCTTGACTCTGTCATCTTACTGACTTTACTAATTCCATTCCTCTTGCTTAGAATGGCTTCCCTGCATTTTTTAAATTCTAGGTTATTCTTTAAAGCCCGGCCCAATGACAAATGGTATTTCTTCTATAAAATCTTAACTTACTCCCTTTGCAACTCTAATACATTTAACATGTAGTGGTACGTATTGAAGAAGGATAAATTTTAAATGGGCCAGTGGACTCCGCCTGGTATTATTTCAGCTATTCAGATTTTTATTATGGCAATTCCAGAGGGTAGATAATTTTGTTTCATTAGAAATGACATCTTCATAGTAGCTAGTTTAATTGACTTTCAACCCTTGGAGAAAAAAGCTAACCTAGGGAAATCAGACATGAAACTATAATGTATTCAACTTTGAGCAACTATGCTATAGTGAAGGGTCTGAAAACCATATGCAGTAGTAGATGAAAAAATTGGGAATGTTTCACCTGCAAACGATAAAACTTAGAGGGGAATTTGATAGGTGTCTTCAGCTGTTTAAATGGATTACGTGAAAGACGGAACATGTGTATTCTGTGTAGCTCCAGAAGATAGAACCAGGACCACTGGGTAGAAATAACATGGAAGCAGTTTTCAAACCAAGATGAGGACTTGTGTAACAATTAGAACTATACCAAAATAGGATGGACTGCCTTGTTAGGAGGTATAATAGTAATGACTTAGTGATTTTTAGTGAAGTACCCATCTCTGGACAGTGTAAGCTGAGCTTTGGTGACTTTGTCAGGAATGTTGCTTATGAATTATGGAAGCAGCACATACAAGAGAAAGCACTGGATTTGGAGGCAGCGTACCTGGGTTTAAATCCCAGTACTATCATTTGCTAGTTCTGTGACTTTTAATGAGTCAGTTAATTTCTCTGGGCCTCAGTTTCTTCATATGTAAAAGGAGTGGGTTAAACTAGGTGACCTCAAAGGAGAACTTACAGCTCTGTAACCTACAACCTAGGTCCATAATAATAGTAACTAGCATTTATATAGTACTTTGAGATTTGTAAAGTGCTTCACACTTTATCCCATTTGATCCTATATCTATAAGATAAGTGCTATTATTATCCCCATTTTACAAATAAGGAAACAGGCCGAGTGAATCTGTGACTTTCCCAGGGTCACACAGACAGTAAGTGTCTGGGGCAGGATTTGAACTCAGATCATCCTTACTCCAAGTGCAACATTATACCCTGAGCCACCTAGCTGCCTCTTTGTGGTTATAATATGCTTATCAAACAGTACTATGCCACAATGACTAAATCAATTGTGCTTCCTCACCTAGAATGCCTTTGACCTGAAGGCAAAAGACAGATTTAGCACCACCTCAACCACTTAAGTCTCTACAGATGTCTTCCATATCTGGGCTTCTGTAACACTTATTATCTATTCAACTGATTTTGATCTTTAATCAGATAATTCCTTCAGAGGTATACATCTTGTTTTTCCAATTAAAATCCTTTAGAGTAGGCACTGTATCACAGTTCTGGATACTTAGTAGCTAGTCAATAAACATTTCCTGAGTTGACTCAAAAGGTTAAGGCCAAAACTAACAAGCTTTGTGGTATAATAGTTAAAACTCAGAAAACCTTTTCATTATGACAGTGCTAGATTATAGTGAGGTTTTGGCTCTAACTTATTAGATGTTAAGACCCTAGCCAAGTGACTTAGCCTTTGATGAGAATTATGATACTTATACTACTCTCTCACAGAGTTGTTATCTGGAAGGTACTTTGTAAGCCTTAAAGTATTATCTTAATGAGGTTGTTTTTACAATTAATGATAAGCAGTTATTCCTATGGTATGTCAACTAAGATCAGGAAAATTCACTGAGATTTTTTTTTTAATGCAGATTTCTTATTATATTATCTAACTTTTCAGTGAAGCCGTATTTTGGGAACCTTGTGCCACCATTCCAAAACAGTAGTCATTAATGTAGAACGGATAGATACCCATCTTCATTCATCTATTAGATGAATAAATGAAGGTCCCCGAACATTTTGTGGGCAGGTAGGTGGCACTAGATAGAGTTCTGGGCCTAGAGTCATGAAGATGTGAGTTCAAATGCAGCCTCAGACACTAGCTGTATAACCCTGGGCAAGTCACTTAACTCTGTTTGCCTTCATTTCCTTATTTGTAAAACAACCTGGAGAAGGAAATGGCAAACCACTCTATTATCTCTGCTAAAAAAAACCCAAATGAGGTCATGAAGAATCCAACATGACGGAAAAGACTGAACAACTACAAAAAACTTTTTGCGGATGTTTCATATTTGTTTTATTTTGTTTTAAATTAATCCTGCTTGGGGGCAGCTAGGTGGCACAGTGGATAGAGCACTGGCCTGGAGTCAGGAGGACCTGAGTTCAAATCCAGCCTCAGACACATAACACTCACTAGCTGTGTGAGTCTGGGCAAGTCACTTAAGTCCAATTGCCTCACTGGGGAAAAAAAGTAAATTAAGCCTGCTTAAGTGAGAATTGGAATTTCTTCAGGGATACTCCTAGACCACTATAAAACCCAATATGAGATAGACCTGCAAGCCATCTTGACTCCTTCTTTGCCGAAAGTTTCCAAAGTAGATTTTTTTCCCTGCACATGTACAACTCACATATTGTAGTGTAAAAGAGAAGAGAATTCAACATAAAACTTTTGCTTCATGTACTTTGAAAAAAAGTATATTCTTTGTTTAGGCATCACAGTCCTAATGTCTCCAAAAATCATGGGCCTGATCACCCCAAAAAATATTGCTATTTTAGGAAACCTACTATTGGAAGCCAAAGTTTCTAAGAGGAAGAATCTCAAATAAATAGTAATTTGACTTTGCCTTTTACTACGATAACAATGAAAGCAGTCAATCAAACAGGAATGGAGTACATTAAAGAACATTCATAGGCTCCATGACCACAATCATGATGCCTTTGATGCTAAAATTTTGAGTTGAACACCTTTTATTTATCCCTTAGATTATAAGAAGACCAGTCTGGCTCCCTATGTGAAAAGTTTTGAACAATTTTTGGAAGAACTGGATAAGTCCAGAAAAGGAGAACTTCTGAGAAAGAGTGGTAAGCATTCAAAAATTAGCAAAGTTTTCATGGCGTTACACCTTTAATCTGTCTGGAACTAAGTGTGGGGAAGGAGTAAAGTATAGGAAGAGGGGAAATTGTTAGGTTCTAACCTCAGCATTCTCCCAAATGTATTGACTTGGTTTTGATATTCTTAAAGTGTTTTTTAAAGTCATAATCCCGTTCTCTAGAAGTATATGGCAGTATTATGGAAATACAGATTTCTCACTTCCTTTTGAAACATCTATATGAAAATTTAAGGAACAGAGCCCAATATAGTGCCTCATACTTAGTAGGAAATCAATAAATATATGTTGAAAGAATGAATACAGTTGTGACTTAAAATTAGAAAGCCACGTTAATTGCCATGATAAGACACTATTAATATTAAGTTACAAGTATACCTGTTATACTGCACCAACCTGCAATGTAGGTTTCAGTAAATATAAGAGCAAGTGTTTTATAGGACTGAGAATTCTTTGAAAGCAATAACATTTAAATGTAGAAATAATTGGTTTTTTCTTACTATTTTCTGATATTGCTTTGCTAAAAAATAATCTGTAACTTTCTGTTTTAGATGCACAGAGAGACTTCTGAAGACAACGGTTCCCTTTAAACCAAAGTAGATTTCTCTGACCTTCAACCAGTAGCTCATTACATCCAACCATGTTATAATATGCTGGACCATACACAATATAATTATTGGGTCATAGCTTACAAATGTTAACAGCAGTTTATATTGAAAAGGTTCCTAATGCCATTAAAAATATATTTACAAATGTAAGGCATCTGGCAGAAAGAGAATTTGGTGATAGTTGGATTTGGTATCATTTTCAAAGTAGATTTTTTTTTGGAGAGGAGGAATCAGGCTTTCCAGTTCATTAGCTTTTTTTTCCAGTTCATTAGCTTTGTGGGATAATTTGTTTATAACAAAGTGGGTACCTTTAATATTTTTTGGTAACAAAAGTTTTCACCTTTTGTTACCAAAAATATTATTAAAGACATTTGAGCAATAATATATTCAAGATCCTAATTTCAATTCACTGGAAACATTTGGGAGATTTTCCTGATAGAGGAAGAGTTTGTCCTTAAGTCTCAGCCAGTTAAGTTTATCGACCTCACATATGTTCTAAGTCACAACAGAAATTTTCTGAGTTTCTGTTGGTCAGCCATTCATACCCTCAGTGCCCAGCCTTCACAATTAATTTTTAAATAGTACACAGAACCTTTTTTCCTTTTTAAAAATTTTTAACTTAAAACAATCCCCTCCCCCAATAAATGAGCCTTTCCATACAGAACACAGAGGATTATGGATGAAACTATGAATCTCTGCTTCATACTTCTTGCTTTTTTTAAATGATAAATTTTATGTTACTTTCCAAACCAACTTGCTTATCTATACTTGTTTTTGTTTTCTTCTATGCATTTTTAAAAAATGTTTCAATGGCCCACTTTATTTGGCATCATAATTGCTAATCTGCTTTTTCCTCCACCCCTCCATTAAAAACTAAAAAAAAACTTGTAATGCCTCAGTCAAACAAAATGAATCCACACAGTAACTGAGTCCAAAAATATCTATCTCTTTCTGTCCTTGAGTCCATCACTTTTTTGTCAGGAGGTGGATAACATGCCTCACCTCTGGAGACATGGTTACTCATTGCATTGATCAGAGTTCTTAAATTTACCTTTCTAGCTTTCTCTTGTCTGAGTTTTCATTTCAACGTTTTTATTCAGTGGGGGTCTTTTCTTCAGAAATGCTTAAGTCTTCTATTCCATTTCATTTTTGAAATTTTACCCTTAGTTGCTGGTTTAACACTATTGATACTAAGTAGAGTATTCTTCAAGGCTGTTTCCAAAGAAACCACTTGTAGCTACTTCTTGTTCCCATGTTCCTGGAATTCTTAGAATTAAGGAGCAGTCTAGAAATAAATACTGGCCAACCTTACTGTCAAAGACTTAGAGTTATGTGATAAAAAGCACCTTGACATTTTAAAATGCCCAAATACTTTACTTCGAAAATATATTTTCAATTTTGTTTTATCCAGATACTTGACTGTGTGTCAATACAATCCAAGTGACAGATTTATTTTATTTACTATTAAACTTTTAAAATGCTTTATTAATATTCTTTTTCCATATTAATGTACTTCATACCAACTCACCTCTCCCTTGCCCCCAAATGGAAGCCCTCCATTATAGCAAATTTATGTAATCAGGCAAAACATATCAAGAAATCATCCACATCCAAAAAAATGCATATCTGATTCTGGACCTCTGTTCTATCACTTCTCTACCATGTCTGTCAGTCAATAAATAGTCAATCAATAAATGTATAAGTGCTTACAGGCACTGTGCTGGATGCTGGAGATACAAATATTAAAAGTCCCTACTTTCAAGGAGCTTACTACAATCTAATGGGGGGAAATCATACAAAAGAAAGCTGAAAGAAGATGGTGAAAGGGCTCACATGGAATGGTGGAGAAGCCAAAGGCCACAATAAATGCTGGTGAGTGAGAAATGAGACATCAGTCCTATTCCCCTTCTTAAATGGAGGAATTAAGGGTTCTACTCTCCAATAAGAAGGGCAGAAGGTACTAATAGACAAGGCTGATTGGATCTTGGAAGATGAGATTTCCTAATGATGAGTTTAATGGGAGCATGGGAGAAGCCCAAAAAGTCCACAACAAAAGTAGCCAGATGGGAATGAGATGTCACCAAGACATCCCCAGCACTTAGCACAGTACCTGGCACCTTTGTTATTGTGTTCAATAGTGTCTGATTCATGACCGCATGGACTATAGCATGCCAGGCTCTTCTATCCTCTACTGTCTCACAAATTCTCTCCAAGCTCATGGTCATTGTTTCCAGGACATTATCCATCCCATCCTCTGCCATCCCCTTTTTCTTTTGCCTTCACTCTTTCCCAACATCAGAGTCTTTTCCAGTGAGTCCTGTGTTCTCATGTGGCCAAATATTTCAGCTTCAATATTTTACCTTCCAATGAGTGGTCTAAGTCACTTGCTTTCTCTAGTATTGATTGATTGATTTGATCTCCTTGCTGTCCGAGGGAATTTCAAAAGTCTTCTCCAGAACAACAATTTGCAAGCATTGATTCTGCAGTGCTCAGTTTTTCTTATAGTCCAATTCTCACAGCCATACATTGCTACTGGAGAAACCATAGCTTTGACTATATGGACCTTTGTCAGCAAGGCACTGTCTCTCTCCTTTTTGAATGCTGTCCAAATTTGCCATAGCTTTCCTTCCAAGGAGTAAGCATCTTTTAATTCCATGGCTACAGCCACCATCTTCAGTAATCTTTGTGCCCAAGAATATAAAATCTGACACAGCTTCCATTTCTTCTCCCTCTATTTGCCAGGAAGTAATGGTACCAGTTGCCAAGATCTTAGGTTTTGTTTTTTGGTGTTTTTATTTTTAAATGATAAGCTTCAAACCAGCTTTTTCACTCTCCTCTTTTACCCTCATTAAGAGGCTTCTTAATTCTTCACTTTCTACCATCAGAGTGGTAAAATCTGCATATCTATGACTGTTAATATTTCTCCCAGCAACTTTACTTCTGGCTTTTGATTTGTCCAGCCTGTCATTTCACGTGCTATGATCTGCATATAAGCTAAATAAGGTGACAACATACAGCCTTGTCATGCCACTTTTCTAAATTTAAACCAATCATTTGTTCCATGTTTGGTTCTAATTGTTGTTTCTTGGCCAGCATATAGGTTCCTAAGGAGACAAGTATGATGTTTTAGCACCCCCATCTCTTTGAGGACTTGTCACATTTTGTTGTGATCCACACAGTCAAAGGCTTTAGTGTACTCAATGAAGCAGAAACAGATTTTTTTTTTATGGAATTCCCTTGCTTTCTCCGTGATGCAACAAATGTTGGCAATTTGGTCTCCAGTTCTGTCTCTTTGAAAACCAGCCTGCTCTTCTGGTAATTCTCAATTCACTTATTGCTGGAGCCTAGCTTGCAGAATCTTTAACATAAACTCGCCGGCATATGAAATGAGTGCAATTGTTCGGTAATTTGAACATTCTTTGGCATTGCCCTTCTTTAGCATTGTGATGTAAATTGATCTTTTCCAATCCAATGGCCACTGTTGTATTTTCCAAATTTGCTGGCATATTGAATGTAGAACATTAGCAGCAGCATCTTTGAGGGTTTTTAATAGCTCAGCTGGAATTCCATCACCTCCACTAGCCTTATTGTCAGCAATGCTTCCTAAGGCCCACTTGACCTCATTCTCCAGGATGTTTGGCTCCACATCAGTAACCACACCATCATGCTTATCTCAGTTATATTAAGATCTTTCTTGTATAGTTCTGTATATTCTTATCTTCTCTTCTTAATCTCTTCTACTTCTGTCAAGTCCCTGCCATTTTTGTCTTCCCATTTTTGCATGAAACTTTCCCTTGATATCTCTAATTTTTTTTAAAAGAGATCTCTTGTCTTTCCCTCTATTTTCTTCTATTTCTTTGCATTGCTTATTTAAGAAAAATCTTACCTCTCCTTGCTGTTTTCTGAAATTCTACATTCAGTTGGGTAGATTTTCCCTTTCTCCTTTTAACTTTTGCTTTCCTTCTTTTCTTAGCTATTTTCAGAGCCTCATCAGGCAGCCATTTTGCTTTCTAACTCTTCTCTGTCTTTGGAATGTTCTTTGTTGCTGTTTCCTATATAGTATTGTGAACCCCTGTCCAGAGTTCTTCAGGCACTCTAATAGATCTAATCCCTTAAATCTATTTTCATCATATCATTAAATCATCACTTCCACTTCATATTCATAAAGGAGAGTTATTTAGTTCATACCTATATTGTCTGATGGTTTTCCCTTCTCCAATTTAATCTGAATTTTGCAATAAGAAGCTCATGATCTGATCCACAGTCAGCTCCAGGTCTTGTTTTAACTAACTGTATAGAGCTTCTCCACCTCTGGCTGCAAAATATATAATCAATCTGATTTCTATATGGACCATCTGGTGATGTCCATGTGTGGAGATGCCTTTTGGGTTGTTGAAAAAGTGTTTGCCATGACCAGTGAGTTATTTTAACAAAACTATATTAGTCTCTACTCTGCTTTATTTTGTGTACCAAAGTCAAACTTGCCTGTTATTCTAGTTATCTTTTGATTTCCTACTGTAGCATTTCAGTCCCATGTGATGAACATGACATCTCTTTTCTGATGTTATTTCTAGACGATGTTGTAGGTTTTCACAGAACTGATCGACTTTGACTTCTTTGGCATCAGTGATTGGACCATAGATTTGTATTACTTTGATGTTGAATGGTTTGCAGTGGATTCGAATAGATGTCATTCAGCCATTTTTGAGATTATACCCCAGCACTCCTTTTCTCACCCTTTTATTGACTGTGAGGGCTACTTCATTTCTCCTAAGGTATTTTTGCCCACAGTACTAAATGTAATGATCACCTGAATTAAATCCACCCATTCCTGTCTATTTAAACTGAGGCACACAAGGTTAAGTGACTTGCCCAGAGTCACACAGCTAGTAAGTGACTGAGGCCACATTTGAACTCAGGTCCTCTGCTCCAGGGCCAGCATTCTATCCAGCTGCCTTGGCTGGCTCATACATGTGTGTGTGTACATATATGTATATATAAAAATATATAATACATAAACAGTCTGTGTCTGTAAGTATTATATATGAATGCTCGAACCAATTCAGTTTCAGAGTGCCTGTCCTTCCACCACCATCCAACAATTGCTCTTTTCCTCTTTTGTCATCTTTGCTAATCTGATGTGTGACATGGATCCTCAGAGTTGTCTTGCTCTTCATAATTAGTAATTTGGAGCATTTTTTAATATGGCTGTTAATAGCTTCGTTTTAGAAATGACTTCATATTCTTTGACCACTTGTCTATTGGGGAATGATTCTTATTATATATTTGTGTCAACTCTTTAATATTCCAGATACCAGACTTTCATTGAAGAAATTTGCTACAAAGATTTTTTTCCATCTGTTTCCTTTCTGATTATTGCTGCACTTATTTTACTTGTAGCAGGTTTTCAATAGTATATGACCAAAATTGTTCATTTTATCATTTATGATAACCACCCTCCCTTGTTTATTGATGAATTCTCTCCCTTTTCATAGTTGTGACATATCTCTTTCCTTTGTCCTCAGTGCTTTTTGTGATACTACTTTTTATATTTAGGTCATTTATCCATTTGGAGTTTATTGTAATATATGGTATATGGCTGTGGTCTAAGCCTAATTTTTATCAAACTGCTATCCAATTTTCCCAGCAATTTTTGTCAAACAGGGAGTCCTCACTCCAGCAGTTAATGTCCCTGAGTTTATTGAACACTATAACTATATCCAGTTGTTTCTAGGTCTTATATACTCAATTTGTTCCATTGACCAACATTTTTACTTTTTAACCAGTATCAAGTTGAAATCTGGGGCCTCCTTCATTCTCTTTTTTTATTATTTCTCTTGAAATACTTGACCTTTTGTTCCTCCAGATAAATTTTGATGTTATTTTGTCTAAATCAACAAAATAACCCCTTAGTCATTTGATTGGTATTATACGAAATCTATAAATTAATTTAGATACAATAATATCATTTTTATTATATTGGCACAGCCCAACCATAAGTAATTAATATTTCTCCACTCATTTAAGTCTTCCTTTATTTTTGCAAAAACAAAACTCTCAACCCCTATATACAATCTGTTGCTAAGTCTTTTCTATTTTACCTTCATAACATTTTATATAACCTCCTTAGTCAGGCACTACAACAACCTAGATACAGGCCCTCCTCACCTCATTTCTGGACTATTACAATAGCCTGCTAGTTAGTTTCCCTGCCTTACATCTCTGCCCACTCCAATCAAACATCTATTTAGCTGTCAAAAGAACAGCTGACCATATCAACCCCTATTTAGTAAACTCCAGGGGCTCCCTATTACCTCCAGGATAGAATATAAAACCCTCTGGTTTCCAAAGCCTTTCATAACCTAGCCCCTATCTGTCTTATATCTTACTCAATCGTATGTACTCTGTGATAGAGTGACATGTCCTCTTTACTGTTTCTTACATGTGACACCCCATCATCTCTTGACTCTTGAGTGTTTTCACTGGCTGTCTCCCATGCCTAGAACCTTGTCCCTCCTCATCTTTACCTCCTGGTTTCCCTGACTTCCTTAGAGTCTCAGCTAAAGTCTTTTTTTTTTCTTTTAGACAACTGGGGTTAAGTGACTTGCCCAGGGTCACACAGCTAGTAAGTGTCAAGTGTTTGTTCTGAGGCTGGATTTGAACTCAGGGCCTCCTGACTTCAGGGCTGGTGCTCTATCCACTGCACCACCTAGCTGCCCCTCAGCTAAAGTCTTACCTTCT